TGCTCCAGAGTGGAATTTGGGGGTAGTCTAGGTATGTGGATGTGTCTTCTTCCTTGGGTACCTCTGGAAAACTTCAAAGCGTCCGTTTTGAGATGAAGGGGAGGCGTGGTTAGCTGTAATAGTCGAGGAATTCCAGGGAATTTTACAGAAATGCAGCTTATCCCTCAGTGCAGCAGGGCTTGGAAGGGGAGGGAGCCTTAAGCAAAGAGGCAGTGGTGGTATTTTGTGCCGTTAGTCGGACATTGCCAAGATCCACTCGGAGTTTTCCTTGGCTGTCACCAGGCTGGGGCTGCTGCTTCCTGCTCTGGATCGTGTCTTTCTGAGGAGAAACCCAGAAATTTCTGAAATTTCCAAGCCCGTTGCAGTGTGGAAGTCTGTCATGGGATTTTTTTTTTTTTTAATTATTTCTGTAGATAAGATTTATTTAGATAATTTCTTTTGCTGCAGGATTAGTATCGAATTGCTGTGAGCTGTTACAGGCAGAAGAGGAAGGAAACCTTTACCCACACACACCACGTTGAGCTCCACCAAAGCCAGGAGCTGCCTGTCCTACTGAAACTCATTTGCTGGTCATTTTTGGGGATGGGGGAAACCATATTTTGGTCAACAAACTACTTGTGAAAAATGTTCACCCAGTGCTAATAACAGCCTTTGGTTGCTAATGAACTGGGACATACTGGGGGAGGAGGGAAAGCTCCACGTGTCTCTACCCACCCAGTATCTCGTGGTTTATTTGTCACCACTGCCCAAATCTCTCAAAAAAACTTTACTTCCATATTGCTGAAATATGAAAATGACCCTTTTTGGGCGTTGTGGTTTTTGTGAAGGAAAGAACATGGTGTGGTTATGTCTGGTTTTATAAACAAAGCATGATGGCAGGGGGGTGGAAAGAGATGGTCTTTAATGTCCCTTCCAACCCAAACCATTCTGTGACTCTGTGGTAATACAATAATTTAATTAATTTATCTGGAATGTTTATTTTTAGTCAAACATCTGGTGGGGCCACTCGACATGCTCCAGGGGTGATCCATAATATTCCACTTTGAACAAAACTTTCTACCTCATTTCTTGCCTCGTGATTTTTCTTTTACACAGCCAGGTAAAATAAAAAAAAACCCCACAACTGTGCCCTCATTAACAAGGGAACAGGCATTTCTTTCCCTCACCCCATGTAACCCCCAGGCAGTGTCCTCCAGCATCTTGCCAAAAGCTTCCACTGCTTTTATAGACTTATTTTCATCTGCCATCAGGATCTGGTTGCCCTGTGCAGGATGCTGATAGTTCTTTGTGTTCGCTCTTTGGATCCCAGCTGGGGCTGCACCGGCTCCAAACCAGAATTAGGACTTTGGAGGGAAGAGCCTTTATGTCTGTGTGTCCATTCCTATGGTAACTTTTCCTTTCCTGGTTGCCACCGAGTGTTTGATTTTGTGTTCCAGCCCTTGCTCTGCTTTATGGCCAGCAGTGGGTGTGTTGTTACAACACTCCTTGTGCCCATGGGGTCTTCAAAAGTGCTTTATTTAACTGTCCTGAGATGCCTTCACCTACCCCTGAAATGCAGCTACTTCAGCTGCAAAGCCTGGCAGCTGCTCCAACAGCAGGAGCACGACCAGGCTGCTGCTTTTAAGACATAAAGTAAGGAAAGGAGGAAAAAAAAATAAATGCCATATCCATTAAAAAACTGCAGGGAGAATGCAAATTGTCAGAATGTAATTACCTAAACTGGAGTTTGGCCAGCACTCTAGATTAACATTTCCTCCTGGAGCATGCCCTGGGATACCTGATGGCCAAAAGAAGTTGGAGTCTCAGCAGGATTAAAAATTGAGCTTTGCTGTGTAGTCCTTCAGTAGTGGTTGAGAGATGTAGATAATCTATTTAGCACCTACAGCACCCTGGGGCTAAAAAGTGGCTGAATCCTCTGAAATCCGATAGGAGTGTCTGAGGTTGAGAGTGCGGTCTGAAAACGTTCCATGGAACTTGTAAAATCCACAGATGGTCCAGCCTTGGAACTGTCTCCTGCGGGAAGGAGGAGAAAGAAGTTAAAAAAGATGTACCAGAAGGATTGCAGCAGGGAAAAAGATGGAAGCTCAGGGTCCTCCCCCCACTCCCCCCGACTGTTGTTCCATGTTTTTCCGAGGTTTATTTCAGGCCATGGAACTGTGCCATGGAAATGTGCATTAGCTGGCTCTGAAGCTCCTTAATACCTGCTTGAAATGACTCAGGGTAATTTAGAGCAGATTGGAGGCACCAGGATGCAAGACATGCTTAGGAGGAAGTGGGATGAGGAGCAGGGAATTCGATGTGGGTAAGGAAAAGAGTGGGGACCTTTTGAAGCAGAGAGGAGGACACAAAGGTGTGATGGCATTCACTGCGCTCAGTTGCAGCTGCCAACTCTAGAGCTACTTAAAATGTAATATCAGGGAAGTTCCCAGCATGAAGTAATACAGGGGTGTCTAAAGAAGTGATTCTGTGAGCAGAATCCCTGAATAGTTTGGGTGGGAAGGGACCTTAAAGCTCATCCTGTTCTATCCCCTTCCATGGGCAGGGACACCTTGTACTATCCCAGGATGATCCAAGCCCCATCCATCCTGGCCTTGGACACTTCCAGGGATCCAGGGACAGCCACAGCTTCTCTGGGCAACCTGTGCCAGAGCCTCACAGGGAAGAATTTCTTCCTAAAGGTCGAACAGAAGGGGCAGGATCTGAACTGCAGCTGGTTTTTAGTTGGCTTTGCGTTGCACCTGCACCCTTCCATACAGCAGGATTAGTATTTTCAGACCTCCAAATCCAACTAAAAGTCAGTGTGGAGTTTCAAAGTCTTGAGCAGGACTGGCACTATGCACTGAGTCTGTTTCTTTGGGAAAACAGGTTGAGAAGCTGGTAGGAGTAAAAGGCTTCTCCTTGCCAGGAAGGAGTCAGGCAGCCTTCTCTGCAACTTCATTTCTTCTTTAAACTATTATTCATCATAGCTTATAGACTCTGTCCTTTAGGATCCACTTCTGATGTGGAAATTTTGTGTGTGTTCTCGAATACTGTATATGAGAAATCACAAGCCCAGATAGCAGCAGAGGTGGGAAATAAAGGCATTTGAACACGGCATTTTTTTTTCTTTGGGATATACAGAAGGCAGCGGAGCAGTGGATTTTTCACTTGGTGGAAGGGAAGCTGAGAACTCCCCTTTAATACTGATCTCCTATTAGAGTAAGAAAGGTAAGCACACAGAGAAGGGGATTAAATCTGAAGGTGTCTTCGTCAGTATAATCTGTAATAGCCTTGATAGTGCTTTCTGAAAGAGAGACTTGCCAGACCGGCTGCTGATCCTGACAGCTTGTTTTCTTTAGGGAGCTGGGAGAAGAATTGGTCTCTTCAGTCGTGTCCCGAAGTGCACGTTCTCCGCTGGTATTTCTCCCTCAGTGAGGTCCTGAAGGGAATTATTGTCTCCCTCTTTCCTCCTGCAGAGCTACAGGTAGATCTCAGGGTGGAACACAAAACCCTGAGCCAAAGTGGGAGCAGATGTGTGTGGTAGGACACACGTGGGTGTGTTTCAACGATTCGGATGTTAATTTTGTCTTTATACTGTGCGATACAGTCATAGTCTTTTTTTATTATTATTATTTTTTCTTTTTTTTGCCTGAAAAAATATGAAAGTATTGTTTCTTAGAGCCTTTGAACCTGCAGAACCCATTCCTGCCCTTCGGAACAGCACGCTCCCTGCAAGGGAAATTGGATTTTGTATTGTTTATCAAAGGGTAGACCCGTGCCCCCGCCTTACCCCTCGCTGCTTTTTCATCTCAGGATAAAAGTTAGTTTCTCCTTGCATTCTTTACACATGTGTAAATGACTGTTAAAAAGTGCAGAGAGATGGAAAAAGCGGGTTTTTTTCCGCCGTTTTGAAGTGCTTATGTTTTATTAAAGCTGAGATTCCCGGAGCTTTGTGGCCAGAAACGCACCACCCTCTCTGCTCCTGGAGATAAAACCCTCTCTGTGAAAAACTCTCTAATTTACCCAAAGTTGTCAAGTTTGTGTGCTTTGGGGTGGGATTTGATTTCCATAGATATGAATGCCTTTCATGGAGCCCCTATAATATAAAATTAAAGCGCATAAACAGAGGATTGAGCGTGTTTGACGTGGTTTTGTTGTGAGAAGATGCTGGCACCATTACTTGCTTTTTTTTTTAATCCCCTTTATTTCACTATAGCTTTATTTTTTCCCTTTTGCTTCAGTCACCATCTGTTACATGTTATGTTTGGTACTTGTCGCTGTTTTTAACATAGACGCTGTGATTTAACAACGTTTAACCACTGATAACACTTAACACACATATTTTAAGATACTTTGTTCAGAGTAAGAGGCATATGCGACCTTCACGCAAACCCTCCAGGTTGGATCCGGGTATTATTTTGTAACAAACTCCAAGCCATTAGGGGTATTTTATTATCTGCGGATCAGCTTCCCACAAGCTCAAAGGGTATTTGGGGGACACACAGCGCTCTGTGGCCTGGAGCGAGCTCTGTGGGGTCACCCTCACGGGGGTTTTGGGGGACACACAGGGCTGCGTGGCCAGACTGGGCTCTGTGGGGGCACCTTTACGGGGTTTTGGAGAACACACAGGGCTGCGCGGCCACAGGGCTGGGCGGTGGCCGCTCCTTCGAGGCGGCATCGAGCACTGCCAACATGGCGGCTCCTCCCTGAGGGGAGGGGGTGTGAGGGACGGCGCGCCTTTTAGGCGGGAAAAGCGCCTCGGCGCGGCGCGCGTGCGCAGTGGTGGGAAACGAGCCGGGGCATCTTCGGCTCTTCTCGGCACGTTCCGGAGACGACAGTCTCCCCGCCTCTCAGGCCTTCGGCAATCTCCGCCCTTCCTTCGGGTATCTCCGCCTCCACTTCGGCAGTCTCCGCCCCTCCTTCGGTAATCTCCGCCCCTGCTTCGGCTACCTCCGCCCTCCCTTCGGGTTTCTCCGCCCCCCCTTCGTTAAGTTCCGCCACCACTTCGGCAGCTTCCGCCGGTTCGGTCGGAAATGGCCGAAGACGTGCGAGACCCAGCGGTTTAAGGGGAGAAGACCGGCCGGCTTTTCGGAACAAACCAACTGTGTCCGGCCCGGAGGGGGGGGAGCAGGGGAGGGCGGACGGAGCGGGAAGACAAGGCAGCGGCTATGGCTCCCCCCCCAGCCCCTCGCGGCTCCGCCGGGAGGGCGAAGTGAGGGCGCCGAGAGGTAGGGGCGGACCGTACCGCGGACGGGGAGAGGGGGAAGGAGGGGGGAGAGCGGTAACACCACCCCTCCGGCACCCCCCCGCGGCAGCCCGTGGGGCCGGGTGGGTGCGGGAGTGGTACAGTCCGGGGGAAGCCCCCTGAGACGGCCGGAGGTTGGGGGGGGGGCTCGGCTGGAGCGGCCCTGAGGGGCAGGAGGGGATGGGAGGCTGTGAGGGGGTCTCTCAGGGCTGGGGGCACGGTGAGGAGGCCCTTCAGAGCTGGGGGGGCTTTAAGGGGATCCGTCAGAACTGGGGGTATGGTGGGGGTGGTTCCTGAAGGCTGGGGGAAGGGGGGCTTTGAGGGGGAACCCTCAGGGCTGGGAGCTGCTGTGACGGGGGTCCCTCATGGCTTAGGCGACTGTGAGGGGGTTCCCTTAGGGCTGGGGGGGCTGTGAGGGATCTCACCGAGCAAGGGATACTCCAGGCGGGTGAGGGTCCCCAAAAGGCTGGAGGGGGAGCCCCTCAGGGTTGGGGAGGCTGTGAGTGGGTCCCTCACAGCGTGAGGGGCGTTGTGGATGTCCCTCAGCGAGGCATCTGCGTGCGAGAGGGTCCCCCCACAAGGCTGGGGGTGAGGGGGGGCTGAGAGGCGTTGTGGGCGTCTCACAGAGCGAGGGACCCTGTGGGGTGGGGAGGATCCCCACAGCGATGGGGGGATCGCTGGCAGGGGGCTGTGATGGCACCTGGTGCCCAGGAGCTGCTGATGGGCTCCCGCTTTCCTGCCCGCCCTCCCTCCTGCATCCCTCAAGGATCTGGAGACCCCCTTGTCCTGCTTGCCTGTGCATCCCCAGGGCTTTGGGGGGTGTTTTGTGTCCCTCCGGTAGTGCAGCCCCTCGGTCCCTTAATTCTAGTCCCTGTGGTTCTTGCTGGGGCTTTGCAAAGGACGAGGCTGTCGCCTCTCTGGGCTTCTCAGCACTGCTGGTGTTGTGCTCCTGTGAGTTGTTTGCTGAAGTTGAGGTTCGTGTTGTTCTTTTTTTTTTTTTTTTTCCCCAGTTGTTTTCCCCCACATGAGGTCTCTTCTTGCTCAAAAAAAAAAACATCGGGGGCTTAACTCCACCAAATATTTTACCAGTGTGGGGATAATAGGTTACTGCTGACAGTGTAACACCCCTGTCATGTTGGTCCAAACCCAAACAATTCGGAGCCTGGAGGAGCTGGAAATGGTTCAGAGAGTATTTAGGATTCACAGAGATGCTGGAGAAGCTGTTCTGTGTTTAAATCCAAACACTGGGAGCCTCAATGACCACTCTGTGACCTCCTGTTGCCTTTGCACGCACCTGATAAATCCTGTGTGTTGATAGCGGGGTACAATAACTTGCCTTTAAAATGTCTGGGTTTCTTGTGCTGCAAGTCTCACATGCGTGTGGGGGAGATTAAATAACTTTGTTTCCTGACAGGGGTGTCACATGCAGGTGATTATCTTGCAGATATTTCTGTTCTCCTGGAGGAATCTGTGATATCTGAGATAGTAACGTCTCAGAAGGTGGGGTGTGTTCTCTGCACGGCTTGTATCAAGTACTGAGTAATCTTCAGCTCGTTTCTATGCAGAAATAGCATCAGAAATGAGCCACAGCCTGATAATGTGATGATGGGGAGAGAGATTTGTCTCCCCCTGACAAGTCCCTTAACTTCATGTACCATCTGAGAGCCCGGTTGTGCAGCGTTATCTGTACCCACTCCCGGCTTTGGGATGCCTCTTCTTTTCCGTTTTTCCTTCCAGAATGGGGTGTTTGCACGGGTTCAGCTGAGTGTCCAGGGATTCTGGAGCAGGACTTGTCTTCCCTGAGCAAATTTTTCCAGCTGCTCAGCTGTGGTACAGACAGTTCTTGAACTCCTTGATGCCTTGTTTTCAGGAGGGAAGTCCAAAATAGTCCTCTGGAATTCTCTGATTTTTTCAAGTGGGGACTGTTAGCTCTCCTGTTTGTTTACACGTGGGGATGGCTTTTGGCAGTTGTCAAGTCAGAGCAAAAGCAGAGAACAAGAAAAACATGATTGTTGAATTGCTTTCGCTTAGGCTGTGTCTCAGTGAGACATGGCAAAATTGGAGGGTTGTTTTTGTGCTGTTCAGGTGGGATGGGAAAGATCATCATCATCGTCTTCCCTTGGATATTTGTAGCGTGGATCTCTGGGATTGTGCAGCTGATGAGTTGAATGTTGTTGATGTATTCCCAGACTTTGCTTGCCCCTCCCGAGCCTGGTTTTCATCACTGTTACATCCTGAAACGCCACCTTAATCTTGAGTTTTCAGAGTTTGTCTCTCTCCTTCTGGCTGTATTATGTGTGTATTTGTTCTTTTTTCCTTCCATTCTCTGCTGCCTGATTTCTTTTTCCTCCTTGCTCTTCGACTCCCATCACCTCTCCCAGCTGCCTTGCCTGTTTTCCCAGGGCTTTCCTCCTGCTGCCCACAGTTAATGATTTCACCAGGGTGGGAATACTCCACATGTTACCTGTTCCATGCCAAGATCACAGCAGCCCATTGGGAATTGGCTCCTGGTCTGGAGGCAATTTTTCTGCTCTGGAAAGCCCCCAGAAACACTGAACTGGAAGGGACCTCGTGGTCATTGGCTGCTGTTTCCTGGGCAGCAGATGGGTTTTCCCAGTGCTTGCTGTCTCATTTCTTTACCTGTTTTCTGTGCTAAGCCCCCATTTTTTTGTCAGATTTTTGTTCCTTTTTTTTTTTTGTCAGGAACAGGCATTATGAAGCAGTTCCTGACTCTGGGATTTTGACTCAGGATGGCGTTTTTGGTGTTACTCTTAACAAGCGAAACCCACAGTGGGGTTCTTATGTCTTAACCACCCAACAAGCAAAATATTTGGGCTTTTTGTTTTCCTTCTTGTGAAAAAGGCAAGTGATACCCATCTTTTCAGTCCAGGCTGGCCTATCTCTGCTAGTGTGTGGCTTGGCAGTGGGGAAAAGCATTCCCATGGGATTCGGGCACACAGCTGGGCCTGCCAGTTGTCTCCTCCAACCCGTGCCGACACAGGCTGTGCTTGCTGGGCTAAAACCAGCACAAGTATAGCATGAATATTCCTGCAATTCAGACACATCCTCGAAAGCAGCGTTTTCTTCTTGGAGAGCACTTGGAAGAGCTGCTCACTGGGGCCTGTCGTGGCTGAGTTTGGCTCCTGCAGCTCGGCCGGGCTGTTGTCTCATGCACATGATTGATGGTGGTGGATGTTGCCTGAGAAGAGGTGCAAAGCCAATCTGGGGTTTTGGGGCTGGTTTGGGAAGGGTGAAGACAGAAGAAGGCTGTGCAGCTCCGTGGCTTGCAGGGAATCGATCCCTGGGCTGCCTTGGGTGTAGGAAGCCTCGGGCACCGGCCTCCCAGGTGAATGGGTGGTATTGCAGCACTTGCAGGGCCAGTTTGGAAGTGCAAATTGAAATCCCACTTTTGTGAAGTCACTGCTGTTGGTTAATTGATGCCTGTTACTGGCAAGAGCTGTTTAGAGATCTGACTAATCCATCTCAGGGTTAGGTTGGATATTGGGAAGGAATTGTTGGCTTTGAGGATGGGGAGGCCCTGGCAGGGGTTGTCCAGAGGAGCTGTGGCTGCCCCATCCCTGGAAGTGCTCAAGGCCAGGTTGGATGGCGTTTGGAGCAACCTGGGATAGTGGAAGGTGTCCCTGCCCATGGCAGGGGGTGGGAATGGATAATCTGTAAGGTCCCTTGCAACCCAAACCATCCTGGAATTCTGGGATCTCTCCCAGTAAATGGAAATCCGTTTCTCAGAACTCTGTTGACATAACCAATAGCACCACAAAGTGCCCTGTCCCTCACTGATAAAAATTGAGTGAAGTACAGAAAATTGAGGCTTACAAAGGAATCATATCAATCCTTTATGTTTTTTGGGTGCTTTTATGGTTTTGGGAAACCCCAGCACTCCAAACCAACAGATAGTCTGTAGCCTCTAATGGATCTAAAGGACTTGTTTCTTTAAGACACGTTTTAATGAGTCTTATAATTTCTTAGTTCTTACACTCAGTTTCTCAAATGGTTGGAATCTTGTTGCCTGCAGTTGGGGGTGTGTGTTTTCTCTGCCCACCTCTGCCCTCCCCCTTCCCTGTGAATTTTGAAAATGTGTCACTTCTCTAATGCAAATGTCTACCCAAGAATAGTCTCAGAACGTGGGATAAACCCACGAACGCCAAGAAACCCTCTCAAGTTTCCTTCTAATAGAAAATATTAATAACTCTTCCCAGTGCACAAATAACATTTTCATTCCCTTATTTTGCACGGTGTCCAGCTGGTTATTCCTTTAACCCTCAAGAGTCTCATAAAATGCTTTCTTTTATGATTCAAAACACTGCCAGGTATCTTCTCATCTGACTTTCATCTTAGGGACAGTGGTAGTGCAGGGAGCCTGAGGTTTGTTGTTGTTGCTGCTGTGTTTTGGCACCAGCGTTGCCTGGAGTGTGTATTCCAGCATCTGACTCTGTTGGGATGATGAGCTGTCATTGCTGTTTGGTGCTGCCTCTCAGTGTGACATAGTCATCTCAGCTCTGTGCCGGAGTGCTGGTTATCTGGAGATTCATTTGGAAGGGAATTGCATTTATTTGAGAGCCAGAATGCCACAGAGCAGGAAACCCTTTGCTCTACAGGTGTTGCCTTCCTGAAGGAACATTTCTTGACAGGTTGAGTAAATCCAGTCAAACAGACGATGGACACTTAGTATGGGAATTGGCTTCTCTACATCCAACATCCTCTGTTACGTTGTCCCATCAACACCTCTCCATTTCCAACATGAAGAGAAGCTTTTCTTTTCCCCCATCCCATATGTATCCCACCTTCTGGGCCCAGATTGGAGTGTGATGGAATTCAGCACGTCACTGGACGTGGGAAAAGACTCCCTTTATCTTCCCCACCCGTGATTCAAAGCCTCCACGTCGTATGGAAGGCAGGGCTGGGATTTGTGCACGTCTTTTAGCGTTTCTATTCCGGGCACGAGGAAGTCATTATGCTGCAGGG